GTAGTCAGCCAGATTGTTGGCGAGTACCCTCCAAGAAGCGGGCTGCAGGCCAGGGCAAAGTGCTGTTAGCTGCTAGCTGTGATGAGGTGTGTGTGCACTTCGTTTCATGGCCCCCAGGAAGAGGTGCAGTTCTACCGTTCGCAATGCCCCCTGCGCTCCATACCCAAAACCTTAAACTCTAAACCTTAGTTTCCGAACCCCAAACCTTAAACCCCGAATCCTACACGCAAAAAACCAGAAACACCAACCTTCGACCATTTCTCCTCATGCTGGAGCAAGGCGCCGAGCCGTTCGCTCAGCGGCGCTTCCCAAGGACGCGGCATGGTGCAGTCGGGGAGCCAAGGGCGGGATTATCAACGTGGAGCGGGTGAAGAGAGGGTGCATAGGACGTCAACCGGGATTATGGCGGGTGCAGCCTGGAGATAAAGTAAAATTGTAGGCTTTAAGAGGGTTATAGAAGCTGTAGCGGGCATTTGAGTCAAGTTGCATTGCGCTCAGACAAGCTCGGCTGTGGTAGAGCCGCATGCGCTCGAAATGTCATGACTGCGGCTGTTGGCAAGTTGAGGATTGTAGGCATCAAAGAACCCTCCACACTGTGCAACCGAGATTCCATTTCAGTTTTTATTTTCTTGTTCATGAGATCCTCCTTTTTCCTGTGGCACCCTGACAGAGTGAGCCTATGCTCAGTCATCACAGCTGAAGGCACTTGCCGCGAGACGGCACGCACTACGCCGACCCGAGATGGACGGGGATGGCATGACCAAAGGGCCATGAACAATGACAGGTACTTTTGATCTGAGAGCTTCTCAGAAACGATCTGCATGTATACTCAATATCCATCAGGGGAGGATCCGCATCGCAGGATCCCCTTATCATCGCTGTGTGATCCTAGGGCCCCTGATAGAGGAATACTTGTTTGCTTTTGTTGGCGGGATTTTGTAAGTGGGGGGAGGGGATCATCTAGCAGAATCTAGCAACCCTTGCGTCAAGTCATCCTCGGAGGTTGCTTGTTAGGGTTTAGGGTTTAAGGGTTTCAGGGTTTAGGGTTTAGGGTTTAGGCCTTGTTACACCCCCCTTCTTCCAGATCCCAGAATGTCTCGAGCTTAGGGTTCGGGATCTTTTTGATAAGTGTGCCATAGCTGAGGCAGATGGTACCACACTCGGCGTCCTGCTTGTACTTACCCACGGAATACAAACTTCCGACCCATCATTATGAAAGTAGAGAACTCTTGAAGTCTTGAACTTGGCTTATTCGCTGCGAGTCAATTTGTGTCCAGGCGGTTAAAACTGCATAAGGTACAGTGTCTAGTGGGGTAGAAAAATCCCTATATAACCCCTATATACTATGGTAGTTTCCATTTTATTGTCGATTATCCCTATATACCATGGTAGATTATGAGTCATGCCAGGGAATTGGCCAGGACTGGGCACTGACTCCTTTCTGGCCCTCTCCGCGACGGGGCCGAGGAGGCCACTTTCGCTTCAGGACTCTGTGAGTAGCACAGGGTGTCAAACACTTGCCCTCGAAATTCCGGATAGTCAAGGTACATGGAAAGAGAAGCAGATGAAACAGTGGGCAGTAGTAGAAGAAAGAAGCAGTCTGTGATCGCGATGATGCTTTGCGTGTTTCCACATTTCGGTTTGTCCATTCCTCAGCCCGCCCAGTCTCTGCCGAAAGGCAACTCACATAATTACTTTGTACATTGGTATACAGTATATATCATGTGTTTTCATTACTGTTCGTAACACAAGGAAACTACCCCTTTACCTACCATCCTCGGATGTGCGCTGGCATGCTGTCCTGCATTAATTTATGCCCTGGCTATCCCCGCTTCAAGCAGCACACATAGGGACAGCCCAGACCTGGACTTTGTGTTAGACAGCTTTCTCCATGCAGTGTTTGGTACCCTAAACCCTCAAGCCTAAACGGTGCGTCGCATGAAAGAGGCCGTGCTGCGGATGTTGCCTGATGGGGAACAGTTCCGTCCTTCCTTCCATTGTCAAAAGGGTTCCAATGGGAACCCCAAACAGGGAACCCCAAGAATATAGTAGGAATATAATGGAATGCAAGGATCCTGGTAGGTATATTCATATTATATTCCTACTATATTCTTGGGGTTCCCTATTTGAGGTTTCCATTCAAGTCCCTTCCATTGTTGCGGCTGGCCCAACACGGGTCAACAGCCAATGTATACCTGGTGACAACTCATGACTCCATATGTACTATAGTCTAAACTCCTTAAAGGGGGGTTAGATAGGGGGTAATATTGGGGACTACTATAGGGGTTATTAAGGAGGATACTCGGAGTTTAGAATATGGCTCATTTTTAAACATAAACTGGAATTAGGGTTCCCGCTATGGAGCAGTTGGGGTTCAGGGCCCCTTTTTCAGGAGTCCCTAGAATTGGGGAAAACATAGATATTAGGGTATATATTGGGAACCCCTGGTTACGGACTTTCCCATTTGGCTGAGCAACTTAGATTTTGCACTTCGTTTTGCAAATGCACCGTTCGGCCATAATAGCCGACTGCCCTCGAGCACTCAAAGCGGGGAGCCAAGAAGGCACCCAGACAAGTTGTTTAGTAATTGTTTTCTCCGACAATTCTTTAGTAATTGCTTAGTCATTGTTTTCCCCCAAGTGTTTAGAAATGACTTTGTTCTTGTTCAGGATGTTCCGCAAGTTGACGCGCAGATTGGCATTTTTCGGGAGTTTGTCATTTTAGCTTCTTCAGGTGCTTTCTTGGGTTCCTAAATCTTAGCACTTCGTTCTCTCCGCGCCATTTTGGATTCGGCTTGCCCAGCGGTCTACAGCCAGGCGAGTATTGGTTAAGCTTTAGCGTCGCACCTTCTCCAATCTGTGCGGCTGCAAAGGATGAGCGAAGGGTGGGAGGGAGATGGATGACCTTCAGCACTACTTTCAAGCAATCGCAGTGACTGGCTAGTCAGGCATTTTCCAGCACGCCAGAGCTAAGCAAGCCTCCATGAGCATACACCCATGGGCAGACCTGGTCTTGCCGCCACACAACCCTTCTGGGCGGTCTTTGGGCCGTTGATAGTGGGCAGCCGTAGTCTTCGATGGCGCACGTCGCCAAATAGAATTACCTTACCAACGAAGCTGATGTACGGGCAAGGTAGCAGCCTTGCCCGGACCAGCCAGGTTTGCGTCTCAGAGTAGCCTTGCTTGCAAGTGCGTGCTGTGGTCGGGCTCAAGTCTAGCGTTCTCTTTCTATCCGCTCAAGCCGGCGGCATTATGAGAAGAGCCAGTCACCAGGACCAACCAACGAGGGCACCTAGTACCAAATTTGGGCCAGCCCAGTCACGTGGTTTAAACTGGGTTGCTCTTAAGGAACTTAATCAAAGTTACTATATCAGGGGAACCCTATATTTATTATATATACCACATTATGGTCACTTAATTTAGGTTCCTTGACAGCAACCCCAGTAAGCGGGAGCTCTTCGCCCGATGTCGGATTGCCGCGAGCTGGCCGAACGGCTGAAAGCCCTCTCGTGTTCAGAGATCGCCGACCTGATCCGACTCGCTGAGCAAGAGCTCGGTTCACGAAAAGAGGCCAGGGGTGACGGCATCCAAGGTACCTGAAAGACTTTAAAGACCTCTGCATTCCACTGCATGTCGCCCAAATGACTCATCTAAGATGTATCCCTCTCAACTCTCCAAGATAATCGTTGTAAAGTTCCCAAAAATCCTCCTTACAACTTCCCATGAGCCGCATCAAGTACCTCACCTGAGCCTCAAGAGCATACTCCCTGCCCAGAACCCTGGAGCTGTGCCAGCCACTGCTGGAAAGCCATCTTTGCCGACGCTTGAGGCAGGGCGGGAGTGGGTTCTCTTGGCGGGAAGCTTCCCGCACCATGGAGGTTGTTTTCCACGTCTAATCTTTTTCTGGTTGTTGGGGTCGCATTCAAAGGCGTTTTGGAGATGCGAAATCTGACATTCTGCATTTTGGGGTCGGGCGTGTGCAGGATCTCCTGTTTTTTCAGTGTTGTTGTATGGCTAGGAGATTAGGTCTTCGACTGCCAGAATCCAAGCTCATGGCTTCTGCGCTCGAACAGCCCGGATGCAGATGAGAATTATCATGCACAACACCAAATTTCGTTGAATTGTGGAGGAGGGGCGGTGGGCCTTCATGCTCGCACAACTACTCACCTCAACTCCTAGGGACACGTCGACGTGACTTCATAGATTCATGTTTGACAAGCACGCGGAGCTTCCCAGCTGCTGAAACAAAGCCATGAGTCACCGAGTCATTATTCAACCCGCCCCTTGAGTTCATATTCCGCTCATAGTAAGATGGAATTCATGGACAAATGTCGTGAGGAGAGCTCTATCATAATGGCAGGTGATGAATTGAAAGCCCAAAGCCCTGAACCCTTAACCCTGGGGCAGCAGGTCTTTGAATCTTCTAAGCCCTAGAGCTCAAACCCCAAACCCCAAACCTTGTCAAGAGCTCCCAGGATCTGCCCACCTCCAAGCGCATCGCTGAGCTAGAGGAGCGGCAGGGGCTAAGAGTGTGTACTTGGAGGCCCATGACTTACGTAGTAAGTACTTATAACTGGAATTATACCCCCATTTATAATTGGGGTAACGCCTATAAGCCCTTTTTAGGGGGATTATAATTAGGGTTACAAGCCCAGTTATAAGTAGTTATTAAGTCCCATAGGCCTCCAAGTAGGGTAAGGGTTTGTGGCGTGTGGGTTTATAGGCTGTAGGGTCCAGGGCTTAGGATTCAGGATGTGTCGGAACATTTTCCATTGCGGGGGGGGGGCCGGTGGGGGGTGGGTGGGTGGGGGTTCATTATAAGTGGGGACTAACAATGGAACCTGCAGCTTATCCCGGAAAACTTCCTGTCTAATCTACAGCAGCTTCATTTCGGCCGCTTCCTGCCTCAGACATGCAACAAGACCAGTGTCCTACATGATGCTTCTGCAAAAGACCCTTACCCCTAAACGCAGCCCTTGTGTGTAGTCCTGTGGGTGGCAGGAGCAGGTGGCCCAGCTTCGCCTGGAGAATGCCCACTTGACGAAGGCCACATGTGGAGGCAGCCTAATAGTATGGGGAGTACATAGGGATCATGTTGAGAAGCTCCTCACATGTAGGGTGATGTGGGGATAATGTAGGGCTATTGTGGGGATTCTACAGTGATTGCATTGGGATCCAAGGCCACAATCCTAGACTTTGCAAAGTGGCCCTTGCTATGGCAGAGCTTTGCGTGTGAGCCTTGTTGGTTGCAGACGCTGCAAGATCATGGCTAGTAACAGAAGGCTTTAATGGAGGGTAATGATACTTCTGACCTCTACCCCTACAGGCCAGCAGACACTTCGAGTTGAAGGGGGAAACCTGTGGGGCACGCTGCTCTAAACATGGCTACGCTTGGTAGAGCTGTCCTTCTTCCGCTGTGTGCGGATGCAGGAGCTGCAAAAAGCTGGTCGAGTGCAGGGCGATGAGCACGTGCTGGAGGCAAGAAACAAGCAGTTCGCGCGACCCTTCCTGAAATTCCTGCCACTGTAATATCCAAATCCTAAACCCCAATGTAACCCGTAATAACCACAGGTTCAATTTCATTTGCCATTTCATGTCCATTCTCTTTTTCATTTTCTTCTCTCCATTATGGGGGAGGGTTTCCATTTCATTTTTCCATTTTCTTTTCCATTATTAAGGGGGATACCTAAGGAGTTTAGACAAATAGCTCATATAACCCTATATAACCTCTATATATATATATATGATATAGTAGTTTCCATTTTCTTTTCCATTATCCCTACTTGGACTATAGCTCACCTGTTGCCAATGTAGTAGTTTCCCAGGCATTAGCAGTGTAGTCTTGGTAATGTGCTGCCACTTCACCAGGGCATGTGAGCTATTATCAAAAATGGGGTGACATCATGGGTTTAGGGGTTCAGGGGTTTGGGGCTTACTGTTTAAGGTTTAGGGTTTAGGGTTTAGGGTTCCATGCAGTACTTGAGTACCCCACTGCCCGCATATGTCATACTGACCGTGGCTGATGTGGAGCTTTCTCAATGAATAAACACGTACCAGCCCGAATTACAGGGAGCCTATCAGGGGTGATATTAGGGGAACCCGTGAAGGATTTACGCTAAAGTTAAACTGCGTCCAGGCGTCTCCCCACCTGGCCGGCTCAGCAGGAAGGTCATTGCTGGCAGCATCCAAGGCGGAGTAAGCGATCATCGCCCATATTGCAGGGTTTAGAGACATCACCCAAATAATGGAGAATCAAATGGAAAAGAAATGGACAACGAAATGGAACCTGGTATCGTACAGTGGTTTTGAAGGGTTATCTGCATGATCCTAAGCCCTAAGTACGCTAGTCCGTAGGAATCATGGTGCTGTAGTGTACTGAGGGTCATGCCGGATTTTGTCCATCAGCCGTGCGATGTCGCGGAATCAGGGGGTTGGCTACGGTTGATTTTGTAGTGACGGTGTGACACACTGATTAGAACTTGCAAGTAGTTTGGAGTGCATTTTGTTCTTGGCTCTGTAGAGCGTCTATTGTGCGAATTTTGCCTTTTGTTGTCATTGCCAACAACATCCGAGCTATTGTTGTGTCTGTGATTGGCATCGTCTGTTTGAGCTAAGGTCTTTGGGATTTGATGCTTTGCTGGAGTTCTGCGAAATCTTGGTGTAGTCATTTTGGCCCGCAGAAGTTCCAAGAGCAATTTCACCTTTTCTCCCAATCCAGTTATGTTGTACGCCGACCATCACTTCACAATTTCTACACTCATCTGTTGCCTGGGCAGTTGGAAGACCAGATGCTGCAAAACTGCAGAAGCCTTTGTTGTTGCTCGCCCTTGGAGCCTCAGCGTCATCCTTCTTCTTCAGGGGTTCAAGTGGATAGCATCCCAACTTTTGCTTAAGCTTTCCTTCCTTGCTGCCTTAGTATGTCCTTCCGAATCATCAAGTCTGTCATTCTACATCCTTCCTTCTTCAGGCGCATTGCCTACCTCCCCTAATCACAAAGCCTCCGTCCCCTCACAAGATATATTCTCAAGATATGTACCACTACTTGAAAACAATTCCCTTACTTTGCAATAGTCCATTTCACGGAACATGGCCTGTTCAGATGATGACATGGGTGGTTGTCAAAATTATGGTCCCTTTTTGGCTACCCTAGATAAATATTAGGGGCCGTATTATAATAGGGATCCAGGGACCATAATTTTCACAACCACCCACATGTTCAACCATCCGACAACCCTTCAGGCTAAAGAGCCGCGAGGAGGTGGCGATGAAGGCACCTCGCCCAGAAGAAGCTCCCGGAGAACAAAGGTATAGCTCCCCTTAAGTAGATAGAGTATGGCTTTGGGTAGATTTTAACAAGCCCCCCAAATACCCCATATTCTATCTACTCAGGGGGGACTATAGGTAGGTAAGGTGCTAGACTTGCTATTCTAGTCATACGTTTGGCTGCCTTTGTCTCCGAATGAAATCAGCTTTCACACTATCATCATGTCATAGCCAACATGTCCCTGTCATGCAACCTCATGGGAGTTTAAAAGCGATATGCCTGATTCTGCTGTGCTTGAAATGGAAATGTTCAGTGGCAAGTTGCATTACTCCATATTCAGCGTGTGGCTTTCGCCAAGGCTTACTGAATGAGCAGACTGCTTCGAAGCGGATTCTTCATAATCTGCCTCTTACTAGTGGTTACCAGGGAATGGGGAACGGATGCCTTTACTCCCTACTAGCTACTCCTAGAAAGGATATGCAGCCTCAGCTGAGCAGGCGCAGATAAATCAGTGCCGACGGAGACAGGCGGCCCACAACCAGCAGGAGAGGAGGCAGAGGTGGGATGAACCGCCGTTGAGAGTTTAAAACAATAACTTAGGGGTACTTGGAAATAAAATTTACTTTTTGCTGATTACAATCAGTAGGAACAGCAAAAATTATGATTTTTACTAGGGTCCCAAGTTCACAAGAGATAAGGATTTTAATCGGGACCTACAATGCCTTTGAAACCCCCATACTAAGCTGCTAGGGTCTCCAAGGGCCTACTCTGAGACAACCCGAGACTCTAAACCCAACACAAAAAACCTTAAACCCCAAACGTCAAATCCAAAACTAGCCCTACACTCTAAACCCTCAATCCCAAACCCCAACCCTAAATCCTAAACCCTCAACCCTACCCTCAAGACAGCAGCGGCTGAATCAGACCGCAGGCTCCGCCAGATTTAGGCCCAGCGTCTGCAGGCTTGGTCATGTAGGGTTTAGGGTTCAGGGCTTAGGAGTTTGGGGTTCAGGGTTTAGGATTTTGGGTTTGGGGTTCAGGATTTTGGGTTTAGGGTTTAGGGTTTATGGATTAGGCGGTTATGATTTAGGAAAAAGGGGCTGGGAATTAGGGATGTTACCCTAAGAATGGAGAATCGAAAAGAAACTGACACTGGGATTATACACTGGCTTATGGGATTGGGGCTTCAAAAAAAAGGAGGGTGTTCCCCTCCTAGGGGGGGTACAGGACAATGTAGCAAGATTGGGATGAGGTGTATATATGTATACATATAGATATATATATATATCTATGTATATGTATGTACACACACACAGATTTCTATATATAGGGATACATGGGTTGGTCAGAAACAGTTGGAATTTGGGGAAGGAAATGGGAAAAGAGACGGAGAATATGCTGCTTTGTAGGCACTAGGGCTTCGACAATAGTAGGAGTCCGCTTTGGGAGTCCAACTAATAAGGATGATAGATGTCGATTTTCGCGGCCCGCTGTTTATGGAAGCCCACATATGGGTGTGTCCCCAGAGGTGCCCCTTTTGGGCCATTGTTTTCTCAGCCCAAGTACCCTCATCTAGGAACAGTTGGCTGTCGCGTCTAAGATTCGTTTGTGTTTGTGGCAGACTGCCAGCAGCTGGAGTCTGGAGATTCGCAGTCCGGCGAGGACAAGGTGTGCGGCTGTTTTCCAAATCTTGTGATTGAGAACGTTGCTTCTGAAATTCGCTGGTTTCGGTGAGTGTCTACTGTAGCTCAGATTGTTGTCGGGCATCCAAGTGTGAGAGTATGTCAAACGCCCCATCCCAGGTTCAATTGGTCAAACTTTGTGGTCACATTCCAGCAACAGTCTGTGGGCATGGAAGATGGGCATTACAAAGCAGTTGATACCCAGAATGTTATCACCACAGCAGATCCCCAAGCTGCTTCTGAATTCCTGCAGCCGTGCTACACCAAGTTTTGAAGGCTATGGACTCACAGCCAGATCGCGAAGAATGGATGTAGCACGAGATTTGGGAAAACAATTTTTCATATGTCATTATGTTGGTTACCATACCATGTTTAAGATTATCAGCACTCGTGAATTCCTGCTCTTTTGCCGACTAGCTCTTTCTCTCATTACCACTTGCGCTGCTGCTACTGCGACTGCTACTTTATCTCGAGGATTACGGCGACGGCGGCAACTACAACTGCAATCTCGCAACTACAACTACACCTACAACAACAATGACGAAAACACCAATTATTCAATTACTACTGCTGCTGCTGCTGCTGCTGCTGCTGCTGGCGGCGGCGGCGGCGGCGGCGGCGGCGGCAGTGGTCGTGGTGGGGGGTGTGGGTAGCTGTAGGGTATGGGGTAGTGCAAGTGGCAGTGGTAGCAGAAGTGGCAGTCGCGTAGTAGTAGTTGTAGAAATCCCAGAAGGCGTAGTGGGTTCGTTGTCGGGCCGGTGGGCATAAGTTGTAAGGTTTGTGAGTTTGAGGTTCGGAAGGGTTAGGATTTAGCAGCAGCAGCAGTAGCCCTAAATCCAAAACCTCAAACTCCAAACCCGAAACCCTAAACTCTCAACTCTAAACAGTATCAGGAATAGTGCTTCTAGCAGCAGTCCTCAGCTTCGATTCTTCCCCGGGCCAGGAGCGTTGCGAACTCCTGGCAGACATTCGATCTGGCAACGCCATAACAGCCCTGAGGATGATGCGGGATCCAAGTGGGGTCGCAGTAATATGAGCCAGAATCTAAACTCCTTAAAGGGGGGTTATGTGGGGAGTTTATATAGGGGAGTACCAGGGGGTTATTAAGGGGGATACTAGGAGTTTAGACTATGGATCATATAGGGGCCTAAATAATTTTCAATATTATCCACAATAATGGAGAATCAAATGGAAAAGAAAATGGACAATGATATGGAAATTGGGGTTATATAGGGAGTTATGGATGGGTTGCAGTAAGGGTTTCCCATAGTTTCCCGAAAGTGGGGAACGTAGAGGGGCTCTGGAAATATGAGTCTATGTCCAGGATTATGTAGGTGTAGTGTTGAGAAACTCCCTATGGGGAATTGCGCAGAGTTTGCATGGGTATGTTTTCAAACTGCTTTCCATGCAATTTCTTTCTGGCCAGGTGCTTGTAGTAAGGGGGGTCAGTGTTGACAGATACCGATTGTTGGGCATCCTCGTAATTTCTGTGCCCAACAAATGGTTTCTTGTCTTAACTAGTAAGCGAAAGCTTTGACAATTGGAAGATCCGAACGCGGAGAAACCCAAGGTGTTTTATGTATTCATGTCAGGCGTTGTCTTTTCGGAAGGGGCAAGAACCCAGAGAGTTGGTGGAGTTTTGAGAGTTGCCTTGGCGCTACATGTCGCCAAACCAGTGGTTCAAGAACGCCCCGAAACTCAATCCTTCAGAGGAACTTCCATATAATGAATCCATCACCATGGTACCTCGTCGGACGCCCTAGTAGTATGGACGAAATTGTTCCGAGCAGCGCACATGCTTTGGGACTGGTAACCCTGAAGCAATCCTGGCCGCCATGGATGCTCTTGTAATCGAATGCACTGCTAACATGGATATAGATATCCTAGCTCAAAACACGCCACCCTACTACGTGCTACTGTAAACCCTGAGACATGCGCCGGAGCGACTTCGAGAAGAAAGAGAAGTCGTTCTGGCTGCCGTGCGGGCAGAAGGCTCCTCTCTCGAGCATGCCTCCCAGGATCGGAGGGTTGAATGGCGAAAAGAGTCAGTTGGCGTGACAATACTGCACATAGCGAGCAGAATGACGAGCTACACAGTTATCATACAAGGGCTGAGACGACGAGCAACCGCACTAAAACATGTTTTTGCAGAGAAGCATTGCCAAGGCGCTGCGGAGTAGCAAAGACGTGGTCCTAGAGGCAGTGGGGGAGTACGGCCCCGCACTGGAATATGCCTCCAAAGAGTTGCAGGGCGATCAGGAGGTGGTGCTCAAAGCAGTTCGGCAGGATGGCACGGCGCTGGAGCATGCATCTGAAGATCTCCTTACAGACCGGGACTTCCTCCTGCAGGCCGTCAAACAGACGAAAGCCTGGTGGCTCTGTCGCTTCGCAGACTCCGAGCTGCAGGAGGATGAGGAGTTTGAGCGCCAGTGCAAGGAGACTGCCGGCACTGGGATTCTTCGATGTGTTGAAGACTGCAAAGCAGCAAAGATATTCACCATTTCAAGCAGGCTTATGCCAGGGTTTGTTCCCTTTGCATGCCAAGCACATCTGAGGATTGTCTTCACCTACTATGACCGCTACACCTGCTTTGAAGGTATGCGCCTGGCCTTCCGGACCGCCGGCGCTTCGGTACCCGGAGGCCGGAGGCTTACGGGCTAATGGTATTTCACAACTACTTCTTTACATGCCTGTAGGGTGTAGGGCTTAGGGTATATAATTGGCTGGCCTATACCAAGCTAGAGGGGGGGGCTTGTACATATGTTTATGTGCCCAGCTGCAGTTAATTACGGAGCCCCATGAACTTCTAAGTATGACGATCGCGGCATGTGCCCAAATCACTAGGATCATACAAATCCGGTGGAGCCATAGAACCATATAGGCTATTCATATATGGCCCTGAATTTTGGAATACCCAAAGTTGGGGCCACAATCTTGATTCGTCCTAGCTAGGAAGGCGCTGTGTCTGATGACGTTTATCAAAAATCTAGACCTGGTACGTGCCAGAAGGGTAGCAAAGAATGCAAGGGCCGCAGAATGTCAAATGCCAGCCCGACTGCGCAAATATGTGGCACATACATGTAATAGATATCTATTTTGTTTACGAGCTTCCCACGCCCCTTACCCCTCTCTCTGCCCTGGAAAAGCTGTCGTGGATAACCTTCATTAAAACCAGTTAACATGGTCTTACATTCATTGGACATCTCAGGAAAACCCCCTTTTCAATCTACTTAACAGCAATTTAGCAGTCTAGTTGGAATCGATCACGGGGAAATTAAAAAAAAGCAGTTTAACTAAGATCAAGTAAGAACACAATGCTGGAATTGTATGAGTTCCTCCCTTTGCAAGAACCACTTAAAACCAACAAATAACCCAGGAAACAGGGGGGATCCTTAAATCCTCTTGATCCCAAGTTAGAACATTCTAATGGCCTCAAAACCTAAACCCTAAACCCCGCCCTCCAAGCCATGATTAGGTTGCCCCATTTGGGGGTTTCCCGAATTTAGGGGTACATTTTTGGGTCCGCATAATAAGGACTGTAGTATTTTGGGGTCTATATTGGATCCCCTTGTTTTGGGAAACTACCATTTAAAAGTAATCTTGCCCTTTTAAAAGCGCCCTTTGAGATTTTCAGGCACCTGGATTTATGGTTTAATAGTTGATATTTCGGGAAAGGGATTACAGTAGTTGTGTCAATCATAGAAAGGTTTTTACCGTTTTGGCTGCAGATTAAAGCAGCAGCCAGCATTGCTGTCTTCTTCTGATGCATACATCTGAAAAAGCAGAACATCAGCCAAGTATCATCCCTCAGCAGTCGCATACATCCGAAGCACATCACATCCTGTTCTACTAAACCCTAAACCCTTAACCTTAATCCCTCAACCCTTAACCCTGAACCCTATGCTGTTGCTTTCATGCAGCGCCCTTAGCTTGGGGCACCGCCTAAACGCGATCGCAGGAAGAACTTGCTGGGTGCAAGTGGACTGAACAAAAGGCACTCTCGTAGTTTCCATTTCCATTACCCCCATATAACCCCAATATACTATAGCAGCTTCCATTTTCTTTTCCATTATCCCCATGTAACCGCAATATACTTCATCCGCCAGTGTTAAGTGCAAATCTTTCTTCACCTGCGCACAACCTGACTCATTGCATACAGCAATCGCTCCTCCAATGCCATCTTTGCTTGTCCGTAAAGACCTGAGTGTCCTGCTAGCCTCGAACCTGCAGTGTCTTGACCAGGTGAGGCGTATGACATGGTGATGGAGGAGTTGAAGCATCTTGGTTGGATGTTGGCATGGCACTTTTTTAACGATTGCTTTATTCCCATCTTTTTTTCAGACATCCATGTTGACTATACCATGCTTTTCATGTTTGCAAGTATTTGAGCCTTACTTGTATACTTGTATGAGTCTTACTGCTACACTGTCATCCCTGATCCTCCTCCTACTATGGCTGCTGCTGATGCTGCTATTACGACTAGTAGTACAGTTGCTTGCTGTTACAACTAGCACTACTACCACCACGCTATTCCTACCATTAGTATTGCTACTACTGCTACTGCTGCTGCTGCTGCTGCTGCTATTACTATGCGCGCTTTACATTATCGACGACTTGTCTGCTAAGTGCACCTATGGGGCAGAAATGGGGATAGCCTGCGTTTGGATATCATTTACAGAGAAGCAAGGGCTGGACCCATTCCCAGCATTGCATGGTTAGACATGACTTGCCGGGTGGCGAAAGTAGAATTTACCGTAAATTATACGGTTTTAGCAACATTGGATCATGTCAAAACAGTATATGGATATTATGGTATATCATAGTATATTATGGTACATTATAGTATATTATATTTTTTTGTGTAATACTTTGAAAATGGTTGGGGCGGACTACTGGGCTGAGCCAGAATGTGAAACCACAACTCATCAAAACCTGTCCATACCTTGAACTACTGGGGCGAGCCAGAATTGAGAAACTCCCATCACTCCTCGGGGCACAGCTGGACTCACGGGGCCAACTGCTTGGACTATGGACCTTGGACTAACGGGGCCAGCTAGCTTTAAAACAGCCCTTTCTGACACGCTTGGACTGCTGGGGCGTACCTTGGACAAGATGGGCCAGCCAGCTTTAGAGGCACCTCTGGGCGCATCTTGGGCGAAAGGGGCGATCCTGAGTTTAAATGCTACTTCCAGGGAAAGTGGAGAAAGTGTTGTAAATGGCAGTGAAAACTGGCTGGCCTGAGAATTCAGACAGGTCTCAAAGATGTGGATTCTGGTCATTCGGCAAATGCAACCGGTGGCAAATGCTGATGCTGCACAAAACACTATTTGGGGCACATAACATCCCAACACGGAGAAAAGACACAACAGCAAATTCCTCCCTCCTGCAGGCAGAAGAGTACTGTAAATACCAAAAATGCTATGGCAACCAGTCGTCAAATGAACGAAGCATGCCCCCTCCTACTCCACCTCCTCCTGTTTCTACTGCTACTGCTGCTGCCACCTCCTGCTGCAACAGCTACTACCACCACCAACGACTGTTACCGGTGCAGCAGCAGCGGCAGCGGCAGCGGCAGCGGCAGCAGCGCAGCGGCCCCGGCACCAGCAGCAGCACCTGCAACAACAGCAACAACAATAGCAATAATGGCCACAAACATGTGCTCGAACAACTACACAATCAATGCTTGCTATTCTGAAACTGAGGCATCCCCTCGGTGAGGGCAGCTCCTCGTCTCGCAGCTTTGAGTTGAGGGTTGGGTGTTTGGTTTCGTTTGAATCAACATTTATGAGCCTTGCATTTGGGAATTCCACGATAGCATCGGGGACTCTGCAGATCGGGGACTCTGCGGATATGCGACCCCGACCCCAGGAGGAGGTCTCTCGAAAGCGTAGGATGGGGGCACGACCCTCGTGGTGCCATTCTTGTAACTGTCGTGATTTTTGATGTCGCAGATCTCAAGCTGTGCCGCCAGCTGCACGGATGGTGGTCGCAAACCTTGTAACTATCACCGTTTTTGATCCAGCAAGTCTCAAAATTGCCAACAGTCACGAATACCATTGGTGTCCGGGTCACTATCCTTGCTACTGTCACTTTTTGATGTTGGAGTGTTCAAACACACCAAAAGTCACAGGGATCGTGCGTGACGACATCCACGCACGTCACAGGGGGAGAGAGAAAATCATCTGACCAGGGGGGAGGGGGGAAGATTTGACCAACCTACACAGCAATTCAATAGTGAATTGCTACAGGCTTCAGACAATTCCATACAAGTGCAGCTTCCAACCAGAGGAGACCCCGTCGCTGCAGGGTGGCAGTCAATTGCAAGAATTCTGAGAGATGTAGGAGAAGGAATGCCACCCAAACCACAGCAGGAGGGGAAAGATCTGAATGTTTTTAGCCAACAACAATTTTTACAGCTTTGGAAGAAAGAGCACCCGCCACACCGGAGGAGGGGGGGTGCAAGGGGAAATATCTGAACGAACTGACGGTCATGGGACAAAAGACAGCTCACCACGCCACGCCAGGGGAGGAGGAAGATCTGAATGACCTCAACAAAATGCAAAGAAAATTATTTTTTCCTGAATAAGGGACACCAAAATACGGCCCCAAATACTATAGTCCTTATTCTAGGGACCCTGAAAAAGGTGCCCCTGATTGCGGGAAACTCTCAAGTCTTGATACTGCAAGGAGACAGTGGGCTTACCAGAAAGCTGGCAATTGCGGGACCATTAATATGCCTGCACCATGCGATATGGGGAATATATAGGAGGAATACTCAGAGGAAGGTTGGAGAAACTCCTAGATCAAGCATCGTTAGCGATCCCCGAAGCATTCGAACTTTGTACGTTTCCGTCCTTTGAGATGCCAATGCCTCTGTGTTGTTATCTGTTTCTAGTTCTCTGGTTTCGAAGAAGCTGTCCGGCTGTTCTGCAAGGGGAAGAGGACAGCTAGGTGGGGGAAGGAATTGAAGCATTGGACAGTCCAGGCACTGCCACCGTTTGGTTTGGTGACGAGCCAGTCTTCGGACACGCAGCAGCTGATGGCGCTTGGGTGCACCCCAGTCACGATTGTGGACGGGATGAAGTCTCCGTGCCTGCGATGGAAGAAAGGGATGCAAAGTGGCATTCGACGGTGGATTCAAGAAGCGTTTCGCTGGTCGGTGGCTCAGAAAGGCATCGCAGAACCGCCCCCTGTGACATCTCTCTGCAAAGCGGTTCCGAGGAGCCTCAGGCGGGCGAGAAGTACAAGTGCCCCTCGGAAGTGATGCGATCAATAGGTGTGCAGATAGATTGTACGTTGCAAGAGATCTGGGGATCCTTCAGGATGCGATTGCCAGTTCGGTTCGGATTTCAGCTGCCCTCTGAAGGCTGGTGCTGCCATTGGCTCCGCGAGGTGCGTCGGCACCATGAAGATGGCGAAGCTATCTGCTGTGCCATATCCAACATCTACAGGGAAGCAGCTTGACTCCTCAATGTGAGTGCAGGGTTGGCTGTTGAAGGGCCAGGACCTATAAACCCATCAGGTCGTTTTCAGAGCTCATTTGCATGCCACAACGTCACAATCAGATCTGCACCTTGCTTGGCTGATTAAAGGCCATGCCTGTGCAACTGAGGACTGGGTGTTGTTCCACGGTGCAGGGTCCTCGGAGCTCTCCGATGAGGATGCCGAAAAGCACGGCCTGCCGAAGAGCCTTTGGCTTGTTTGAGGTGATCTACTTGGAGGGTCATGGGGACTGAGGAAGTAGGAGAACAACGCCTGTAAGCCATATAATGACCCCACTCATGCCCATTACTAACTGATTCAATAGATCCCCATGACCCTCCAAGTAGTGGGGTTTCTTAAAGTAGGGCTCCCGTTGGACTCTAGGGAACATGTGGCGACTACATTATCATCCTTCGGAAGGATTATGTTGGAAGGATGAATTGAGTTGAGGGCTTTTGATTTGCGTCCTCATGTGTTTCCAGCTCTCGCTGCGCAGCAGCGCAGGCCCAGTAAATCAGACACGCCAAGCACCAGCAGCATCTGTAAGCAGTGTGGGTCAGATTTTGGGTTGCTCGGCCGCGAGTTTGCACACTGACCCACTCTGCAAGTCTGAGGGAGACCTTCCGCAACGGTCGTCCCGATGGTTGGGGCAAAGGGCAAATCCGCATAGATGGCCATGACTTCGATCGCAGGGCGCCTGTGCACCCCCGAACCCAGAAGCCATTGGGGGTGGGATGTCGCTGGGAACGGCAGGCCTTAGATGGCATGGAGTTCCCAGTTTATGCTTTCTTCAAACCGTGAGCAGCGCAAAGCGCATGTCATGGCATAGTGTGGTGCTGACGGAGTGCCTGGTAATATTTTGAGTCGTAGGATTACCCCAATATTGGAGAATCAAACGTAGAAGTTAAATGGACAACCATGTGGAAAGTACTATGTCGGTTTTGGGTTTTATGGTGGATTTAGGAATGCCTTCGTGCTCCGTCGGTTACCCTTTCTGTAGACTCCACCCGTGCTGTTAGCATCTCACTGCAGGTGGATCAGTTGTTGCCACAAAAGAGTCTAAGTTGCTGAGGTGCATCGGGGGGTGCCATGATTCGAATACGTGGGGTTTCGTAAAGAGGGGACGAGGTATAGAGCCTCATGAACATATATAGCCGACTAGCACGGCATCATCATGGGCAGGTGGACGCCAGCAACGATCTGGGTCCTGCATTGAAGACCACCCGGGCCCCAGCAAACTGCCCTTGACCTCGGCTTGTTGAGGCGTGTGTATCCGTGAGTCTAGAGTCTACAGCGCGCAGCATCAACTCAGAAGTACCAAGCCCCGAAGTAGACCCTGCATATGAGAGGAAGAACCTGCAAAGTTACGTTCCGCAGATTATCATTCCCTACCCCTAAGGTTCCAAGGACTTAAATTATGGGGGTTTATGGCCAAAATACCATGCAGATCATAGTTGTCAAAGTATTTGAGCCCTAAAACCCATTATTTGGGTCCTTGGACCCTCAGGGTACTGTATGTGTTCCCTTATGAAGGGTATCCCCAAGAAAGTCCCTGCTGTTGAATCCTGTGCTCGCAGCTTGGGGATGAGCGGGGCGGAAGGGGAGGCTTAGGGCGAAGGGCGCGACGCTGTCGCTGCCAGTGTCGACGACGAGGGCCGAGGCCTGTTGGACTGGGAGTTAAGAACATGGAGGTTTCCGGCTGTAGGGTTCCGAAAGTGTGAATCCACATATTATATGGGGCGTGCCAATCGTAAGCTATTGTCCGCTCCACTGCTTTGGATTGTTTGGGGTGCTGGGGATTTTGATTCTCCATTGGTGACTAGGATGAGCCCGTCAAGTGACAAAGGAAGATAAGCAAGAGCCCGACCACACGTGTGGCAAGTTGCGGTTCTATAGTGGTGACCCCCCCGATTCCTTCATTGTCTAACTCTGGCATCCGAAGCCCAAAGCAGCTTCCCCGCAGCTGACAGCAATCACCCGCTTAGGGGGGTTGCAGAAACTGCTGGGAAGGTGGTGCCAGAGGCCTTCTACTCGGCATGTCGTGACCCTGTCTCGCTTTAAGTGCAGGGAGGAAAGGCTTGCAATGTGCTTCAGTGCGTTGCATGCCCAATCAGGTGCCAGTGCATTATGCTATGCTGCCCAGAACACAGATGATTGTCCCAAGCAATTGCACGAGCCTACTGGGAGCAGCATGCTCACAGGCTTCTGCCCTAGAACCCGAGCGGTACACTCGCCCAGGAGTGACAAGCCACAAAGCCACGCTCAGAGTCCTGCTCCCTTGCCAGGTCCAACTCTGTCTCGCGTCTTCCCGGCTGTTTTGTGACGGCTTCAGGAAACTTCCGAAGACATTGCTCTCAAATAAGCCGTTGCAGGAGTTTTATGATAATCGTAGGGTCCAGTGCCAAAAGTTTTTTTTGGGGGGCTTTGTGCCACTCCTATAGGAACATGCGCGAGCCTTTGTTGCCAGCCTTCTAAGGACCAAAGCCTCATTCTGGTTGAGGGCACTAAGTTCACTAAGAGAACGTGGCTCCAGCACGGCTCTACGGCACGTTATCTGGCTGTTACAAGACTGATGCTCACTTATAAAGCTGCCCAGTGGACTGTACGGGCCTAAATGAAGACCAATATTACGGTCCTAGATTCCTTTGTAAACTTATCGTATAGGGTACCTTGAAATAGCGTCTAAATGGTATTGGTAATTGCCGAGACCCCTACAGTATCTATGATCATGGCAGGCGCGCTGGTGAATCTGGACCAGTTTCGAGTGGTGTCGCGGGACCGCCAAGCCAAAACCATCAGTTGCTGCAATGTACCTAGGTATATAAACCTGATGTTTTGCAGATGAGCTATAGTCTAAAATCCTTGACTCAGGTGGTTACATAGCGGATTGTGTATGGGGGCATTTTAGGGGCTATTAAAGGGGATATGAGGAGTTGGGACTATAACTCATATGCTGGGAACTCTACAACCTGGCTGGGCATAGTCATGGAACTCCAGCGCTCAAAGTAGGGTTCTTCAGAAGCCTGGAAAAGTTGAAGCCTTTACTGTATCTTAAATTCGAAGTCCATATGTAGTCTGCAAAGCTCATATATATACTTCTAGCATATCATGCAGCAGGCCTCCCGAAAGCCAGCTTGTTCAAAGGCCCCTAACCCCAAACCCTAAACCCCAAACCCCAAACCCTAAACCCCAAACCCTCAACCCTAAACCCCAACCCCAAACCCCAAACCCTAAAACCGTACATCACTTTGCATTGTTGTCCTGTAGCTGGCCCTGACCTGAAGGTATAGGGTATGGTTCTCTTGGTGGGGATACATGGGGTTGAGGGTCTAGGGGGTTCTATAGGGATTATATGAGCTATGGTCTAAACTCCTTAAAGGGGCTTATATACGGGGTTATATAGGGGAGTACTGTAAGGGATATTAAGGGGGATGCTAGGAGTTTAGGTTATAGTTCATATATGGTTATATGAGCTAATGTCACTATGAGCCTTATTAAGACAGCGGACATAGGGGTCCCTCTTGTAATTAAGTATAGTCCCTAATCTAGTCCTAACAAGGAGCCCATGTCCGTAATTGTATGGGGACATTTCGACAGTAGCTCATATGAAGCCATCTCATGATCCAAAGGGTGGCTCATGTTGCCAATCAGTCTGATGGTTCACATGCATACATGAACCTCCCCCAGGAATCATAGGGTCATATTTCATGTTCAGTCTCATCCATTGTCTAAGGTAAAAACCATGTGCCCCTAGTATGGGCCCTTAACCCTGGGATCCTATTTACCTACTAACTACCCTATATCTACCCTTAAGGGTCCCTAGAATCCCCCTTAAAAGGCTAAGGGCCCACATTAGGGGCCCATACTTCTAACCTTAGACATTGTCTTTTCTGTGGTGATCCCCTGTCCAGCGGAGGACCTCACCAAGGGAACTTTCAGCGGTGGCATCTTCACCGCTGCCGGGTCTTCATCTTTTTTTTTGCGCTTTGGGGGTGTGGCCGGGTGTGGGTTGGGGGAAAGCTGGCTGCTTGCAGTTCGGCCCAGGCTTACCAGTTCTGAGTCGGGAATAAGAGAATGTCATCCTTTATAGCAGAAAGCGAGAACGTTTTAAGAACTCAAAATTACGTCGTTTCCGGACTCCGTGTGCGATCAAGGGCAGATGAGGGGTTATGTGCTTTGCAGGTCACGTGATAGTTTTGTGCGTCAAGGCTTGGGCTGCAGCATGCTTGGCAGTTTGATGAACTTCGCAAGTCTTGGTAGGGAATATGGGAATATAGCATTTAGGGGTTATATAGAATTCCTTTATTCCTTACAAAGAACCAGTAAGATTATCACAGTGTTCAATATGTGTGGGGCTCAGGTAAACAGGGTTGTAGTAGCCCATCCTGCCGCCAAGCTATAAAAGCACCTTTCGAAAAGCCATACAGAAGTTACACTTGACAGCACCGGCCTACCTTCCCCAAGCCTTGCAGAATGTCAAAAGCGCTACTTGGAGGGTCCTGGGGCTTGGTAAGTAGGTTCATAGCGTCTATAAGTCATATACGGTTCGCCAATTATCAATATGGTAGTTTCCCAAAAGAGGGGGAACCCAATATAGACCCTAATATACTATAGTCCTTATTATTGGGAACCCCAAAATGGTACCCCTAATTTTGGGAAACCCCCATATTAACCTACATCCTAAGTCACCATGGCACTCCAAGTAAGAAACCGCTGAAGGCCAGCATTCCCAATAGCCTAACTGCCGACCAAAGCTCAATCCTAGAGCATAAGCGCCCAAAAACACCAAGCCCTGGCTCGAAGGTTTGAATTATGGGCCCCTAGTATAGGCCTTTCATCCCAGGGTCCTTACCTACCCAAGTATTCTATCCCTAAACCCCTAAATAATCAAGCACCCAAAGTTAGGCCCTAGGAAACAGGTAGGGGGCTACATTAAGGGGCCCATGATTATAACCCCTTTACAACCCCAATGTAAGCCCCAATGTAAGCCATTATAGTAGCTTCCATTCTATTTTCCATTATCCCATTATAACCCTTACATCCTAAACCCACAACCCAGAACCCAAAACTCTAAACCCTATATAAACATAACGGGTCCCTTAGGTGGCTTATGCCGTGCTTCTGCTTCTTCTCATCGCGGAGCTCGGTGCGTTTGTTAGGCGGGGTTTAAGGTTTAGGGTTTAGGTTTGAGGGTTTAGGGTTTAGGGCCAGCCAGGGGCCCCGCACTTGGAGATACTTCTCTTGGTAGCTGAGTAGGTAGCCCTTGTAGTCCCCCTTAAGTAGATAGAATATGGCGTTGGGTACATCATAATGAGATCCCCATATACCCCATATTCTCTCTACTTAAGGGGGACTATAATACTTTGTGGTCTACATTATCCAACTGCAAAGGGTTAGCCTCGTTTGGACCAAGGAACTCAGCAACTAGGTACTCCAGTTCCAAGCGGGGAAGCATGATGAAGCTTCTGTCTTTTTTTTAGAATTGTTCTCAAGCTCCAAACCTTAAGTCTTTTCGAATTGAGTATGCGGGATCTATCTGCAAGCGTCAGCCATCATGCATTCAGGGAAAATCAAGCAAGACACCCTGCGTCATACCCTTGAGTTCAACTGTAACATGAGAACCACAGATGCTTGGTAAATAGGTTGGGTACTGCCCCTCCACTCTATAACAGCTTGATAATGTTTATAATAGCACTATAGAGCGCCTTTCACATGACCTCTATTGTAGATTGTTACAGGGTGGGGGGCAGGACCCAATAACTAGGTCTACGAAGATTTGTGGGGACCTCCAGGAAGCATCC